CTAATGGATGAATGGCTTACCTTCTTGTAGTTTTTTCCCAAAAGAAATTCAGTTCATATGCCATTTTACAACACAAAGCAGATCTATAATTAGATGGTATTGGTTGTGTTAATTATCATTTTGGGGTAAGTAAGTAAGAGGCTAGGTAAATACCTAATAATAATGATAATAATAATAATAATGGTTTATTCCAGCTTTTCTACAGAGTAGCTATAAGTCTGGATACTAAACTAAGAGACTAAATACTACCCGGGGGGGGGGAATCCGGGAAAAAAGTACCGGGGATGCTCGTCGTATCTCTTAGGGGTAAAAAATCGCGATTTGGTATCTTTTAGGGTGTTAAATGCGAACTTTTGAAAATCAGCATTTTCTGGTATCTCTTAGGGTGTCGGAAAATGAGAGATATATCCTAGGCGCTTTTTATGTAAAATTTAATATTATTTGTTGTGGTATGTCTTAGGGGTTAAAAAAATCATTCAGCCACGCCCTTTTTTAAAGACTTCTGGTATCTTTTAGGGGTCTTTTTGAAAATTTCCGACAAGCATCCCCGGTACTTTTTTCCCGGAGTCCCCCCCCCGGGAAATACTACTACTACTACCTAAAAACAGAAGTGTTAGGAGTAGCACAACATGCAGTTTGCTTCGATCTTAAGACTTTTCGAGTGTTCTGCCAATCCCCAAGTGCTTATAACTTTACACAGCACAGCAAGCAGATTTTTTATTTCTTTTTTAAAATACAAATTACAATAATCGTTATTTTAGATAGGAATGATGCAACTGAAAGTGAGCGCACTTGCTGTGTACTCTCATAAAGCAAGTGCTCACAACCAATCAAAAATCAAAATTTATAACAGTTATTTTATAAATAGCAATATCATACCTCTGATGTCCTTCTTTACACTGAGTATTAACCAGATGACCTCCTGGAAAACAAGTAATGGATGCCTGAATTAATGTAACSATTTATACATTGCTGTCCCCTGGGGAGGATCCAGGATTTTTGGTCAAGAGAGGGGGTTCATTTTACATAATTTCAAACATGTTAAACAATAAGGAACATTATTATAATGTAAATTGTGCAGTTCTAGAAAATATGCATTCCCCCCCCCCCCCCCCCCCCCCAAGGAATTTGGATTTTCTGAGGGGTAGGGGTCAGAGAAGGAACAAAATTACAGAGTTTGCAGGGTAGAAGATTGGAATTTCTGGGGTGGTGGTCTTAAAAAATTTCTGAAACTACACATTAAAAAAAGGTAAAAAGGTAAAGGTAATTTATTTTACTTCGATAACACAGGGAGTGGTTGCCCAATTCTCCCGAGCCAAGGGTTCATGTTAAATGCGCTCGAAGGTGCGCCCTCTATCCCCTCTTACTATCAGTGCTCCTTTTTACGGGTATTTAAAGCTAATTAAAGCTACACAGAACAGAGAGAAGTCGAAACAGACGTGGAGTTCCTGAG